GGGGTCTTCTTTTCTAAAGCTTTTGTCGGAGTTCTGTTCAAGATGTAGACAGCATGTCGAACACCTTCTCCCCACAACCATTGGGGTAAATTCATGGCCTTCAACATAGATCTTGTGGTTCCAAGAACAGTTTGGTTTCGGCGTTCAACCACACCATTCTGTTGTGGCGTATATGGTGCGGTTAAATACCTATTTATACCTTCTTCATTGCAAAGTTGTTCAAAGTTGGTAGAGACAAACTCACCTCCACGATCAGTTCTCATTGCTTTCACCTTGTAACCACTTTCCAATTCAACAGACTTCTTGAACTTGTTGAATAAAAATAGAGGTGTTTTGATCTCATAGTTGTATCGGTTGTGTAGATTATATTGGTTAAGGACATGTATGGTGAAGCCAAGACCAAAGCAAAGATGGTGGGAGGAGACTTAGATCATTTCTTGGTTGTGATGGGATTATAATACAAATTTACTCTTAGTCGCTTTCGGGTTATAGATGAACTGACATAACAAATCTAGGTTAAGTATGTTAGGTGCATGTTATTTACAAATAATAATGTATTTTTGTCGAAACATGTGATGATAATGATGATAGATTGGAGGTGTGGAGACAGGAGTGTAGTTTCAGCAAAATACCACTTGAGTTAGAACATAGAAGTGAAGGTGAATCTCAATTATAAACTCACACCGAAAGGGATATTTTTTGGTACATTGAATATATTATTCAAGTTGATGGAGTGAAGGGATATCACCCATTGCATCAGAGTGAATTAGAGGAACTAGAGTATTATGTGCGACACGAACGTGCCACTTCAACTAAACATCAAGTTTTATCACCCTATGAGGCAGTGTTGACCACTAAAGAACACTCACATGCATTATGTAGACTATGAGAGTGGCGGAGATAAAGATGCCTTAGGTGGATGTGCAAATGTACTGGGAGGGATAGTGTTCGCTGTGATGACATTCAGGACATAAGAGCAGCTTGTCTAGAGGATAAGATGCATGAAGTCATGGTGGTCTTGGCATGAGCAACTGAGTAGTGTTATGAGCGGGGTGTTTGGAGAGTGTTTCAATTCAGGGGTTGAGGGGAGACAAACCACAAAGAATGTGGAATGAGCGACTGAAGCCAAACATGATGACCTTAAACCTTTATGATGTCGTGACCTTTAATGTTCCAGGAGGTGCCAAATTATGGTATCAAATTCTTTATAGGGTTTGAGATCAAGCACTATTAGGGTTGGGAGTTCTCTTGGCCATGAAGATAGGCGTGACTCATGTGGGTGTTAAATAATACTCCCTTTGTCCCGGTCTCTTTGTCCACTTTCAATTTGGCACAAATACCAAGATAAAGCTTAAAGTAGATAGAAAAGTCTCAAATACCCTTTCTTTGAGCTAACAATTTGTGTTGAGATAGAGTAGAACTTACACGGAGTACATTACTTCATTTAAATATTTTCAAAAAAGTACAATGATTAAAAGTTTTACTATTCATCAATCTACTCCAAGCAATTCATCAGAGCTCACAAGCAGATAGGGCTCTTCACCATTGGTAAGGTGCACATGTAATTGAAATAATGCCTTCAACCAAAGCGTTATCGCCATCCCGCTTCCTCAGTGAACTAAAAACTCAGATGCACACTGGATTCCATCATCATTACCATTAGAGGGCACATGCACAGAGTGCTCCTATACTTTGACATGTTGAGAAAGAGGACATACAGTTGTGCTCCTCTAATCTCTCCATGGACGATTCCATTTCAGGGTTCATACTATTGGAAGGGATGGTGGTGTTGGAAAAGAGGACGAAGATCAGATCTAGAAGATGAAGATCAGAAAATCAAATCTAGAGGAGATGATATCATAAATAGGGTGTTGGAATTGTAGTGTCGGTGTATTGGTGATTGGGGTAGGTGGGTGGACGGGTGGAGTAGGTAAAATGTAATAGGAGTATTAAATTTGAAATGGAGGGTAAAATGAACAATTCATACACTCAACCCAAACTAAAAAAGGAAAGTGGACAAATACAGTGGGATGGCTTGAAAAGGAAAAGTGGAAAAATAGTGGGATTGAGGGAGTACTTTGCTTACTGTTTTTTGTTGTACTGCCTTTTTAAAGTTTTTGGGCACTATTTATCGCTAATCATTACTGCACAAACTTCTACTAGACCACAGTGTTTCCATTACTTTCACCTTGAGATGCCTTTTTCTGCTTCAGATAGTTTACTGTAATCTTCAAAGTTTTCAGGATGCTTCAAAGTTTTAACATCTGCCAGAACTTCTCAAAATTTTCCAAAGTCAGAACTCAAAAGTTTTCACGGAAACTGCACCTCAATCATTAGAATAGACATAAGGTTTGCATACATCTCACAAACATATAGGGTGTGTTTGGTTTGGTTTGGTTTGTTCACCAAAACTCATTGGACATTGGTTAAGAACTTAAGAGTCAAAAAAGAGTCAAGGTTTTATTGCAAACTATGTGTGAGCACATTTCAAAATCATTTGTAAGTGCATTTCTCAATCTTCAATTAAGAGCCTTTCTTGCATGTTTAACTAAGGGGCTGTTTGTTTCAGCCTCTTAATGGTTCAGATGTCTGAATGACTCAGCACTTAATGGTTCAGACTGTTTGTTTCAGCCTCTTAATGGTTCAGATGTCTGAATGGTTAAGACATTTGCCTCTGAATGGTTAAGTATTATACAGAGTCTGAATGGTTAAGACCTCTTATCTTAATTGATTAGACATTTTCCTCTCAATAGTTAAGCAATATACTAGCTCTTAAAGGTTCAGACCTCTTACTGATTCAGCACTTAATGGTTCAGACCTCTTACCTCTTACTGGTTCAGCACTTACCTATTCAGAAGTTGCCAAACAGCCCCTAACGCCCTTAAGACAATGGTTAATTTCTTCCTTAATTCATTACTCCCAAGACAATGGTTCACTTCTTCCTTAATTTATTACTCCTCCATCCTCATGAACTTGATCTCGGCATATCCAGATGAGATATATTACACTCCGTATTAATTGGATTTTAAACAAAACCAACATAGTTCTAGGAAATACGTAGTATAATTCAAAATGAAATTACATTCTCTAGCATATCAATGTAAATAAGAATGCCAAAAACTAAAAAAACTGCATTCCTATATTAATTTCAAATGAAAATCACGAAACTGAAAATTCCATACAACTGAAGCCTGAGATCTATTTCAGATCCATTGAACACAGATTAGATAGAAGCAGGTGAAAGATGTGACCTTGGTCTTTGACATACTCGGAGAGTGTTCTGCAGTCGGAGCAAAGAGCAAGACCCGTGAACCCGAGGTTCTCACACTCTTTTGTGCTCAGCTGCTTCTCCGCTATCACTGCTGCCACCACGCAGATCATAGAGCCAAAGATCAACAAAAACCAATCGGTTTGCATCTCTATATCTCTGTCTCCCCACTGTCTGGATCCCTCTTGCTGCGCACCCACACAAAAACTTCATTTACAATCAGTCCTTTAGTTACTTACGTGTTTCTTTATTTCTAGGTAATAATGGAAGATCTTTTGGTTTTTTTTATCCGTTAAATTTTGAATTAGTTCTTAAAATGATCATTTCTAATGAAGTGTTTTCCCAAAATAATTTTTTCTAGTCAAAGATGTGTATTTGATTCAAAATTTAAAATTTTTTTATAAGTTTTTAATAATTCATGTATTATGTTTAGTCAAGGTATTTTTTTAATTTTACATTTAGTTGTACAGAAATGACCGTTTCGAAAATATATTTTAAATTTAGACGATAAAAATACCAAATACCCCCAATTAAATATTATCAAATATTACCTCCGTAGTCTTTTTTTTAAGGGTGTCTTTCACAAATGGTCCTTTTTTTTATCTTCTGACATGTTGGTATTAATTTAAAGGCTAAAAGTATAATTTGCCATCAACATTATGTTTAGTGACATGTTCTGATATTGGTTAAGCGGATAATACAAAAATAATGACTATGGTTGTGGGCTAGGATTCCGACGAAAGACCACATTTGTAGACTATGGTTGTAGTAGAAAGCGACTGTAATTCACAAACGATGGAGACGGGATAGCCTTTGGAATTGTGTATGACAAAAAAGATATATTATCATTGCGAAATTACACTTTTAGCCCTCAAAATAACACCAACATGATAGAAGATCAAAAAAGGACTATTTGTGGAAAGATACCTATAAAAGAAGGACCACTGGTGTAATATTTGATAATAGAGGACTAAATAGGGAAACCCCCCTGTTATAAAGGACCAATTATGGAATTTATTCTAACATTATTTAAGAAAGACTATCTAGGAAATAAATCGCAATTATAAATGACGACGTATATAATTAAAACTTATTAAGGGCTGAATTGGAAAAACACCTTATTACAAGGGACTATTTTGAAAATTTACACTTTACCAAAATAGTGGTTTAAATTAGAACTTGAATTGAACCTATATGATCAAAGGACTAAGGTCAGGATGTTCTGTCTAGGGTGGGCGTGGTACCTAACATACTATCATAACTTATCACAGACCGCTTTTAATTAAATGGTTCGGTATCAGTACGGGATGAATCCTAAAATCATTTGGTACCATTCCACTTCGAAACGAAACGGTACAATACCAAATTCATGCTCAAAGCGTGCCAAAAAAATTAAATATTCATTACTCAAATATTATTAAAATAAAAGCATAATCCTTTAATATAAAATTTGAGAGTTGATAGTCTAAGAATGTGCCATTTGGCATTCTTTAAGGCATAATTTTTTGACACGTGGTATGCCACGCGTCTCCTCTACGAATGACTTACCAAATTTGCGGTCTGCTAAAGGAAAGAATTAAAGTGCCCATAATTTACCGTCTCTGCTTGGCTAAAGCCGAAGGAAAGTATGGAAGATCCTAATGATCTCTACAATTAGATGTTGATTCGGCCAATCTTCTTCACATCCATGATGGGGTTTGGGTAAATGGGTTATGTGTATTGCAGCAAAAGCTGTGGCCTTTCAGTGGCAATCTCTCTGGCTGACAAGAGTTTCCATCAAGAAGACCAGAACTCAAGGCCGGAGCGATAACGGAAAAGAACACCGGTTTGAAAACAGTGAAGATTTCGCCCGACTTCAGGATCAACCCAGATCCGCATTTTGGTCATGTAATTTTTTCTGGTAATGCTATGTTCTGACTTCTTTCTGTCAATTTGGATGCCCATAACATGCTTGATGTAATGCCTGACAAGCTGAAACCTTTTTTTTAATGTGTCTGGTACTTTGAGACAATTAGGGAGGAGTTTGCAAATACAGGCCATGATGGAGATGAAATTGATGTTGACAGGAGAGGGTTTGAGACCTGGAGAAACATGTCTAAAATGGTAGTCTTCATGTTGTGTTTATGTGCTTTCAAGTATAACCAAATAATGTCTAATGTTTTTTTGTTGTTTACGGAGTAGTATTTTTTTGTCATTACGGGCAAGTTGATTCGGCCAATCTTCTTCAGATCCATGGCCGTGTCCAAGATTCCGCCACTCTCTGCAATTCGGTTCTTCGCCTATTTATTCACAGAGAAGGAAGCTATCCAAAATTACACACCTCTTCTACGCCAATTACCCCATCTCTTCTTCGTCAAATGAAAGAATCGGTATTTCACCGATCTATCTTTATCTCTTCGTCACCAAGGAGTTCGACACCGAATTAAAGTTCGGAATGTTCAAGATTGCAATAATTCTTTATTTGGTTGAAATTATTGAGTAAATTCTATAATTGGTCCTTTATAACAGGGGGTTTCCTATTTAGTCCTCTATTATCAAATATTATCCAAGTGGTTCTTCTTTTATGGGTACCTTTCCACAAATAGTCTTTTTTTGATCTTCTATCATGTTGGTGTTAATTTGAGGGCTAAAAGTGTAATTTCACAATGATGATATATCTTTTTTGTCATACACAATTCCAAAGGCTGTTCTGTTTGCGTCGTTTGTGAATTACAGTAGCTTTTTACGACAACTATAGTCTACAAATGAGATCTTTCGTCAGAATCCTAGCCCACAATCATAGTCATTATTTTTGTGTTATCCGCTTAACCAATATCAGAACACGTCACTAGACATAATGTTGACGTCAAATTATACTTTTATCCTTTAATGAAACCATAGTATTTGTATAAAATACTACACTTCGCTGAGATAAACATAGCAATTGTTAGAATATAAATAAATGTTCATGGGCCACAACTACAAGCTTGAGCTTTTGGTTGAGTTGGTTCCTTGACATGGTATCAGAGCTTCATTGACTAAGAGGTCACGGGTTCGAAACTCAGCGCCACCCAGTTTAAAAACAATTAAGGTTTCACGTGCAAGGCTCAAAAAAAAGACTACGCTTGCACGTGAGGGGGCGTGTTAGAATATAAATAAATGTTCCTAGGCCACAACTACAAGCTTGAGCTTTTGGTTGAGTTTGTTCCTTGACAGCAAATCAGAGTGTTCAAGATCGAGTAACATTCTGTCGATTAGGTGTTCTTAGGCTCACTCAAATAAGTCTTTCCACAGATTGACTGAGTAGGAATGGTGGGACAATTTGGCTTTCAAAGGCATCACCCTTTACATCCAGTTAAGTACCATTCCAGTTTAGACAACCATTCCAAGCACAATATGTTCATAATAGGCTTACATGTAGGTTTGAGTAGTGATGATACCATAGTAATTTTTTTGTAAATGATTGATTCAATGGCATAAGGTCAGCGTATATGGGAATAGTGAAATGTGAATAATAACCGTATATGTGAATAGTTATCATATTTGTGAATAGTAACATATGTGCGAATAGTACCATATTTATGAATAGTAATCGTATTTCAGAATAATACTTGTATTTCTGAATAGTAGCCATATGTGTGAATAGTACCTATATTTCTGAATTGTGACGGTACTTTTGAATAGTAACCGTATTCCTGAATAGTAACCATATTTCTAAATAGTAATCGTTTTCTTTAATATTAATTGTATTTCTAAATAGTAGCTATATATCAAATAGTAAATGTATTTTTAAATTGTAATTATACTGTAAAACATCTATTTACACAAATAATAACAGTAGGGTGAGCAAATCCTGATACTGAAAAAATTTTGAAAACCCAAAAAACCCCATACAAAAAATTACCATACTGGTAAATACCGAAAAGACCCAAACTATAACAAACCCAAATATTAGGTCTGGTATTTGGGAATGGTATGAGCTGGGATCCCGTACTAGAAATTGACTACGTCAAAAACAGATGCTGACAACTGTTTCTTTTAGTAGTCTCTCGGTGTTGATTTCAGTAGTCTTCCGAGCAGCTGTCTGATATATTTACAGACTATTGTTTAAAAAAAATTGTGTAAAATGGTTGACGACACCTGTTTTGTAATGTTTTAGACTATCACTTTTTAGTGTTGTCCCCGTATGAGTAAGACATATGTTTTTTAGACAGTGGCGGAGCCAGGGTCGGGCCTTTGAGGGGGCACAATAGTATACTGTGTGGTTGGAGGATAGCGTCCGATTTTATCAAATGAAATAACAAACAAATGTTATTCGAATTATGCCAAAAAAATAACCAAAAATGATACTCGTAGTTCACAAAACAAAGATTTAAAAATTTTTTAATTCATTTTATTTAAAGATTGATATATAAATAAAAATCTAACTTACATATTCAAAACTACGGAGCACGTCAAATCTTATACAAAATGAGTGGTTACAAGAATACGGAGTATTTTATTTTATCAAATAATCAATAAAAACACACAAATAAACAAAAATTTCTGTGATTTCGAAATAGTGATGAAGAAATATAATTCTAGGACAGATAGAATATTATTTAATTTATTATTGCATACGCTAATTTAAATTTTTTCAAAGTCTTGATTTTAAAAAAATAATCCCTAATTTCAATTTAACACATAACAACTTAGTTTTATAGTAATAAGCATCCAGCATCATAATTTGATACTCCCTCCGTCCTAAAACCATCTTCCCACTTCCCTTTTTTTCCCGTCCTAAAAATAACTTCCCAAACCCAAAAAAGGGCAGTGTAAAGACAAATATACCCCCTCATTTACGCCACAACTGCCCTGTCCTATTCGCTGCTTCTCTCCTTCTTCACTCTTCGCCTCCTCTCAAACCCTAGATCTATCTACCCTCTCTCTCCTTCTCCGCCTCGAAATCGCCGGTGATGCCCACCACCTGTATGAGAGAATACTCCAGAGGGATTGGAGGGACAATGGAGATTCCATTTCTCAAGGCCGATGAATGGATAATTTCTCAAGGCCGATGAATGGATAATTTCTCGACCCGACCAGCCCCATCTTCTTCCGGCAACTCCCACACCTGTTCGAGTCGCACGCCGGCAGCGGCGGCACCTCTCCGGCTGAATCTGCCGATCAGACCGGCGACACCAATGCCGGATCTCTGATTTCGGCTATGAGATTTGAGGTCTGCGCGAGCTTCTCCATGGGTACGAGTGTTTTTAGATCTGTGCATTGTTGGGTGAAGTGGGGGACTTTAGGGGCACTTTGGTAAAGTCAATTGGTAAAGTCAATGCATATTTTACACTCTCTTAAAAATGGCATATAGTCAACGTGGGAAGGTTGATTTAGGACGGAGGGAGTACTTAAATACTTGGTAGTAAAAAGCATCCCATAATCATCACCAAATACGGATTAGCAAACAAAGATTTGAAAAACAACTAAAAATTAGTCAACAAATATTTAGCATGAGTTACTCCGTGACTTGCCGTTTGGTTTCCGGCTTAGTCCGTATTTTTTTGGGGCAATTGGGCTTCTGGAGTGTTGGGATGGGTCAAAGGCTCAAAGCCCAAAAGATTTTCTTTAAACATTTAAGAAAACGACGTCGTACATTTTCTTCTTCTTCAGCGATTTCTCCGCCTCCTTCTTCTTCGACCTGCTGCGGCAGACCACAGTGCCGCCTGCCGGACCAATCTGGGGGGCTAATCCGGCCTTCCTTCTCCGATGGGTACCTCTACCCTATTTCGCCGGAATTTCGTCGGGGGCACTTGCCCAGGCATGCCCCCCTCCCTCCGCCCCTGTTTTTAGAGTTAAAGAGAACTATGATTTTTTGTTGTCTATCTATAATGAATACTATTGTTGTTTTTAACTTCAGACTCCTAATTGTTGGTGTTTTCATTCAACAATATAGACATCTACTTCAAAAAGTAATTAAAAGATATATTAGACTGCTGCTCGGAAGACTACTACATAGAATTTTTGTCATAGACGACACTTCTTCATCTACTTAGTTCAATAATTAGAAATGTCTTTGCTGATTCTATCTTGAGAACTAGAGTAATGATGATTGATGATCAGCGGAAGCTAAGGTTGATATCAAAGAATATTTTCAAATTATGGATTGTTTCTTCTTCTTTTTAATCTCACGTTGCTTCCTCTTTCTTGAAGCTCTTGTTATTCTTTTTTCATATTAATCATAGTTTTTTTTGGTTTGCTAATTGTAGAAGCTAGGGTCTGGTTTTTGAATTATGCATTTTAGTTATATATGAATATATTGCTTCGTATTGGTTGTTTTGTTTTCAGACTGATTTTAAATCAAAGAAAAAGGACTTTTAGGTGCATTGTCCATCCGGGGGAGGTGTTCACTGTGGCGTTGCAGCAATTGTTGCAGGGTACCAACGGATTAGCGGCTATATGATCATCTGGGTATGATCACCTCTAATTCTTCTTTTGATTATTTCTTCACTAAAGCCTTACTTGGAAATTCAACTTTAACTGTGAATGACATGCTCTCAAGTCTGACCTCTTAGGTATTTTATGCGTGTATTCTAGGTTTTTTTCATCCAAGAGATTATTATGCTCATATATGTTAAAAACATCTTTGATGAATACCCTTCGAGATCTAGGTTATCAATGAGCAGGTTGGAACACATTTTGTGGTGAGAGCTCTGTTATTCTGCTAATTTTTTTAGAAAACACAAGTGTGTAAAAATTAGGAACTTTTTCCTATCATATTCCTCACACTCAAGAATATTGGTACTTTGTATTTTAATATGATTGATTTTGGTGAATTTGATTTGCTTTGAATAATATATATTTTAGATTTCTTGGAACTACTGTATATGTTTGGATATGTCATATTGTAGAGGAAGTGTTGCTAAAATTTGAAGTACCTGCAAATATTAACTACCTAGAATACGCGGCTTATAGTAGTTTGAAGCACCAGAGAGACGATAATATGGATTGAAATACACTGCATTGTTGCCGTCTAAGTGACCAAAAGATCATTTCCCCGTGTTCATCATCAATGTGATGTTGTCCCCTTTCAGAAGGATGCGACCCAATGGCTTTCTGGTCTTCTTCTTTACACTGACGTCAGCATCACACACACACAATTAGAGTATTGAATTCTTAACTCAGGTGCTTTATTTATTAATCAATGTCTATTTTCTTTCTACTCCTGTAGTTTTTGATTTCAGTGAAGGCAATACTAAGCAGTTCACTAGGTGGCTTTGCTGCCACCATTTGCTAAGAAGTATACACCCTTGCTCACCACTCGTGATGATCAGGTGGTCCTTAAAAGCAAGGCGTCTACCTGGGAGGATAGACAATGACGTCAAAAACTACTAGAACGCAAAGCTGAATAAGAAGCTCAAGAACATGGGAATTAACCCTTTGACTCATAAGACCTTTGCTCAGGTATTTTTATTGTTACAAGTACCTAGCCTGTGGGACTGTAAGTGTTCGTTTTTATGCGGCATCTTCTTGTAGTTGACTACTTACTGTGAGTCTTGATGTGTTGTGCATTCGATGATTAGCTGCAGGTTGACAACAGGGGAGATACCATATTGTACTTTGCAAGCGTTTTTTACCAAGACTGAACTGAACAAGCCAGGATGGTGAGTTGTACTTTGTACACAATCAAGTTTTTTGATGGCTTTATATTGGAAGCATTGTGAGATGGTTCAGTTTGTTCAAGAAATAATTATCACGAACATATTAGAAGACACAGACCTCAGAATGGCTTCTTTGCAAACTAACTATGATCGTTTCTTTTTTGAACAATGTACCTAGGGTTATTAGTTTTTTTTCACTTGTAACTTTTAAGGTTTAAACTTAAGTTTTTTTGTTTTGGGAATTACTTAGCGTGCCTCTTGTACTTCTCTCTTTAATCTAATAAAATGCTTGTATTTTTGGTAGAATGTTTGTTATATATATATATATATATATATATATATATATATAATCATAAAATATTATAATTGAGAAGAATATTTATTAATATTAAATATATTTATGACGGGATTTTTTGCCATAAAAAGGCTTTTTTGATGATGGTAAAAATACTGTCATTAAATAATTTTTAATGAGAGGACCTGATGACCGTCATTATTTGTATTTAACTACGGAGCCTATAGTGATGGGTGATGAGAGTAAATTTCCTCTCATTAAATTGTTTTAATGAGGGTTTTATCTACTTTAACTACAATTTTCACTCACATTAAAAGACATATTTCTTGTAGTGAAAAGAGATGAAATAAATGGGACTGATGAATTGGTCTCTATTCTGTCTCACTTTTGAGACCATTATGAGACTAAATTGCCGTCTCTTTTCAACATGCATTCTTGTAGTGTATAGATAACTACTGTATAGATAACTACTATTTCTCTTTACAAATTAATGTACGGTTTCTCAAAACTTTAAAAATAGTTCTAGCCTTAATAGTCTAACTACTGTTTAAAAAAGGTATTCTTAATTTATTATAGATTACGGTTTCTATAAATTTTAAAAATAGTTCTATGCTATATAAATATACTACTGTTACAAAGGAGTCTTCTACTCTTATAATAAACAACTATGCAAAACAAAACCTGAAACATACAACTTACAATAGAATACTATTTCTTATAAGTTTAAAAACAGTTATAAACTGAAAAGCCAGACTACTGTTTAGAAATAGTAGTCTTAACTAATTTTTGACAACTATGGCAACAAAAACTGTATTTTTAGATGAAACGGACAACTAATAAAAGATTACCGTTTCTCACAACTTTAAAAACAGTTCTACCCTTAGTTCATAGACTACTATTACAAAAGAGTCTTCTATTCCATTAGAAACAACAGTGGAAAAAAACCATATGAAACAGACAACTAGCGATAGATAACTGTTTCTAATAAGTTTAAAACCAGTTCTAGACTAAAACACCAGACTACTATTTAAATAGAGTATTCTTAACTTATTATTGACAATTGTTGTAACAAAAACTGTATTTTGAACTGACACAGACAACTAGTGATAGATTACCGTTTCTCAAAACTTTCAAAACAATTTTAAAGCATAATAGCTAGACTACTGTTCAGTAGCCAAGAAAAACTCACAGTAGTCTATTTTTTTTAAACTACTGTGTTTCCATAAACAGTAGTTAATCAACAGTCGTCTGATACTGTTTTTGGCGTAGTGATCTCGTACCGAGTAGTACTTCATTAAGACTTTCATAGTTCCACTGCCTTGTGCTACTCACTTATCATTTTACATTTCTCGCAAGCCACAAAGCCTTAATTAGCACAATCAAGAGCTCCAATTCTTCTTCTAAGGTGGATGCTTCTACAGTTCTTCTTGCTAATGTTGGATCTATTCAAACGAGTCATTTCATAATCTCTCATTTGCTGGAAATTCCATCTTTCTTCTTCTCAATTTTGACTTAGAGTGTTCCAGGTATCAAATTCATTCATTGACTTCTCAATTACCGAATGATTCATTCATTAAAAAATTGATTTTGTTGGACATGAGTTCAAACCCCTTTATTATTTTTCTGGAATATTTTGTTTTGATGAATGACAAACAGGATGATTAAATTCAAACGATAATCGAAAATTTATTCTTCGTATCGAGAAAAGCAAAGAGGCATATCAAGAAATTTACGGCGATAAAAATCAACGCTCACCCCTACGCAGATTTTTGAAGTGAAGTGAAGACTCCGAAGACTTTTTATTTTTTATTGAGTCTAGGAATTTTTTTGTAAGGATGACAATAATTTTTGCATAAACAAATTAATTTTTGAGGGATACAAATTATTATTTTCTGAGTCAGTTGAAAAATCATTTTTTGTCTAAAAATATTTTATTGTGTCAGTTTCAAAAGAGTGTGTCAAATTTTCTTAAAATATCTTTTTAAGGATACACAATTTTTTTGTGGTAAGAAAAATATACTTTAAATATTTTTTCGTGTACATCGTTTGACACACAAAATAATTTTTGGACTCACTTTTACTCCCTTATTCAAATTCATTGAATAAGAGAGGAGGAGCGCCTTCCTGATTCCCGTTGTCTCAAACAACGAGTTTAATCTAATTTGCTTTCTATCGGAACTGGCCTTGGGCCCTTTGTGTTTACGCATTATTTCCTTATTAATCGATTAATTGTCCATAATTAATCGATTAATTGCTTAATGTTGGATTACCCTGGTCTGGAATATTAATCGATTTTTGTTCTTCATTTAATCGATTAGTTCGGACAGAGCCGACTAATTGATTTTATTATCTTCTTTTAATCGATTAGTTCCACTCTTCTCTACAGACATTTTCGTCTCTGTGCACTTTAATCGATTTAAAACCTATACTTTAATCGATTAATATTGTCTGGTGCCAATTCTCAGTATCTCTCAGTGGCTCAAACGGTTCTTTTATCTTTTGCCTATTTAATCCCTCATTCTATCTCTTTTTGAGATACAACTCTTGCACTCTAATATCTCAATTGATTCATATTCAATTCTTGCTTCCATCTTCCTCATCAAATATTATTTTGAGAGTTAGAAATATTTTTATTGAGTGCTAAAGATATTGTCATCCATAGAGCTTTAATCTTTCAAACACTACTTGCTCAAATGTGTGAGCTTTCATTTTTGTGTTGTAAACTCAATCTTTTGAGTGTTGCTAAGACTTGTGCAATTCATGTCTTGTTGTTGTTAAGACTTGTGTGACTCAAGTTTTGTTGTAACAAGTTGAGGCTTGTGTGATTCAAGTTCTCGAGTTGTATCGGTTTTTCAAGCACCCGTTGAAACTTGAAGTTAGTAGAACCTTTGAGAAAGTCTCTCAGAGGACTGGACTAACCACGAGGTGGTGAACCAGTATAAATCACGGTGTACTCCTTTCCCTTGCTCTTTACAATTTTCCTGCGATTTTTATATTATTTGTAGAGAATATTACTCCAAGTTAGCTGGGTTTGTTGGAGTTTGTTACAGGACTGTTAGTTAGTTACAAGTTGGTTACGGTGGTTTAGTTTGTTAGCTCTCTTGTTACGTTTTCTCCTTCTTGTATATATATCCCTTCCTGTATCATGAGACACCAAGCTCCATGATTGATGAAATAATATCTTTCAGTCTTTCCTTCATTTTCATTCTCTGTTCTTTATGTAATCTGATNATATTACTCCAAGTTAGCTGGGTTTGTTGGAGTTTGTTACAGGACTGTTAGTTAGTTACAAGTTGGTTACGGTGGTTTAGTTTGTTAGCTCTCTTGTTACGTTTTCTCCTTCTTGTATATATATCCCTTCCTGTATCATGAGACACCAAGCTCCATGATTGATGAAATAATATCTTTCAGTCTTTCCTTCATTTTCATTCTCTGTTCTTTATGTAATCTGATTCTCAGATCTAACATGGTATTAGAGCTCGTGTGAGACGATCCAGATTTTTTTTTACAAAGAAATTCCTTAATCTTACGGAAATTGTTTTCTCGAATCCATGGCGGAGAATGAAGAACAAACATACAGGTAGGATTCTCTGTTCCTCCACAATTCTGATCACCCTGGGATGAATCTCATAGCGACGAAGTTGAATGGAATGAATTTCATTCCTTGGAGTCGATCCGTGAAGATTTCTCTCATATCGAAGATGAAGATATGATTCATTGATGGCACCTGCAGAAAACCAGATCCCAATTCACCAAATTATGCGCAATGGGAGCGTTGTGATAACATGGTGTTCAGCTGGATTTTGCACTCAATCCAGCCAGATCTTGCAGAAGCGTTTCTATACGCTTCATCGTCTGAAGAATTATGGAAGGAGCTCGAAGAAAGGTTTGGTCAGAGTAATGGACCTTTGATCTATGAGGTAGAGAAGAAGATTGCAGATCTTCAACAAAACAATGAGCAAATTGGAAATTATTTTACCAAGCTCAAGAAACTGTGGGACGAGATGTCAAATATCAATGAACCACCTACTTGTGAATGTGATGGATGTGTTTGTGGCGCAAAAAGGAAGATTATTGAAGCTGAACAGAAAAGGAAACTTGTTAAGTTTCTGATGGGACTCAATGATGCCTCTGATGTTGCTAGAAGCCAGATTCTGTTGATGGATCCACTTCCTTCTGCCAGCAAGGCCTGCAGTTTAATCCAACAAGTTGAGAGGCAGAGGAATATATCACAGGATCACAAAACATTGGATCTGAAATGGCATCATATGCCAACAATGATGGAAGAGATTACCAGGCCTTCTTCGCTGGAAAAGGAGGTTTCCAGAAGCAGGCTCCTTATAACAAATTTGATGCAAAGAGAGGCAAAAGGTGTGACTATTGTAAAGAGAATGGTCATCTCAAGGAGCAATGCTTCAAGCTCATTGGATATCCTGAGTGGTTCAAAGGGAACAAAGGAAAGAAAGGGCAGAATACACATGGTGGAAACAAATTTGCTGGGAACACCATGATTCAAGATGGTTTCTTGGAGACCCCACTGGATGATACTCAGAATCACAATGGAGAACAAAATTTCCAGATGAACACTGCTTTTCTCAAAGGACTTGCACAAGAGATGATGAAGGTGCTGAATGAGAAGAGCAACTCATCATCAGATTCCATTTCATTGAACACTTATGCTTATTTCGCAGGTAAATGCTTATCTATGGCTTCTAGTGTCTTGAACTTAAGTGAGGTTGAGGCCTGTTGTGCACACAGTGGAAATGAGGTGAATTGGATAATAGATACTGGAGCTTCAGATCATATGACCCCTTTTGAACACATCTTTTGTGAGACATATACACTCAAATCTCCTGTTAAAGTAACATTACCAGATGGTCATCATAAAACAGTGCATAAGGCAGGGAATGTGGTGATAACACCAAATTTGATCTTGACTGGTGTTTTACATGTGCCTGACTTCAAATTCAGCCTCATTTCAGTAAGCAAGTTGATAGACACACATGGACTTCATATGGTTTTTCTGCCTGACAAGTGTCTGTTTCAGGACCTTTTGACTAAACAGACAATGGCAACAGGATTAAGGAGCACTGGGCTATATAAGTTGAAGGTGAAACATCAATGCCAGAGAGGGCAGGATGCACATATATTGGCTGCTAAGTCCTGTAAATTTGACCTACTGCATGCTAGATTAGGTCATAGTTCTCTGTCAAAAATGAGGCACATTCCAAGTTGTAAAGATCACATGTCAAACAATTTTAGTTGTGACACATGTATGCTTGCAAAGTTTCACAGGCTGGCCTTTAATGAAAGTGTTTCTTTTACTGATAAGCCCTTTAAACTTGTTCACATGGATTTATGGGGGCCATATAGAACACCTAATATTACAAGAGCAAGGTTTTTCCTAACAACAGTTGATGATTGTACTAGGAACACCTGGACACAACTCCTACATCAAAAGGAACAAGCTAAGACTACCATAACACATTTCTTGTCTATGATTGAAACTCAATTTAAAACAAGAATTGAATGTGTTAGGTCAGATAATGGTACAGAGTTCTTGAATTCTGTTTGTTCTGACATATTTGGGATGAAAGGAATTATACATCAGAGGTCTATGGTCAGAACTCCACAACAGAATGGAGTTGTTGAAAGGAAACATAGACATCTTCTTGATACAGCTAGAGCCATCAGATTGCATGCAAGTCTTCCTAAGATGTTCTGGGGTGAATGTATTTTGGCAGCCACTCATCTTATCAACAAGTTGCCTGTTGAAAAATTAGATTGGAAGACACCTTTTGAGCTCTTATACAATAAAAGCCCAACCTATGAGGAATTAAGGGTAATAGGCTGTCAATGTTTTGCTGCAAATCTCCATCAGAAAGACAAGTTTGAACATAGAGGAATCAGATGCATACTTCTAGGATATCCTTTTGGGCAAAAGGGATATTGATTATATGACTTGGAGGACAAACGGGTGTTTCACAGCAGGGATGTCATTTTCCAAGAAAATATATTTCCTTACCAGGGAAGGAAAAACAAGGAACCTGATGTACCACTCCCTATCATCACAATAGATGACTGTGAATATGAATCAGTTCCTGATAATACTCCCATCAGTTCCTCTGAACAACTACAACATGATCACCTTCCAACTGATGAGGACACACTGGTCAGAATGTCTGATGATAGCGTGGAGGGCAGCACATCCAGAACAAATGTGGACTGTAATGACTCCACAAAGGCACAAGATGAGAATATGATAAGAAGATCTACCAGGATTAAAGCTACACCTGTGTGGATGAAGGACTTCATTCAGCCTAAACCCAAGCAATATTTGCAGCATACTAAAGATTCTTCTCAATCCTTCAGTTTGTATGCTTCTGCCAAGGGTATGTACTCAGCTGAACTGGAATATCACTCTGCAGCTTTTCTGGCTTCCTTTAACAAGGTTATGTCTATACCAGAACCTTATCATTATTCTCAAGCAAAGGATGACCCCAAATGGGTGGAAGCCATGGGATCTCACTACTCTTCCACCTGGAATAAAGCCTCTCACACCTTAATGGGTATACAAAGTCAAATACCTGCCAGATGGAAATGTTGAAAGATACAAAGCAAGACTTGTGGTCAGGGGTTACAATCAAATTCCAGGAATTGATTACAAGGATACTTTCTCTCCAGTGGCCAAGCTTCCCACTGTGAGAATCCTTATTGCCCTTGCAACTGCACAACACTGGCCTTTGTACCAATTAGATATAAATAATGCCTTTCTACATGGATTTCTGGATGAAGAAGTCTACATGGTCCCTCCACAAGGGTATACCCAAGCAAACCTGGTCTTTTTTGCAAATTGAAGAAGTCACTGTATGGGCTCAAGCAGGCTTCTGGGCAGTGGAATATTGAACTTTCCAAATTCCTTATTTCCTTGGGTTTTGTGAGATCTAAGCATGATTATTCTCTATTCACAAGAAGATATGATAGCAAATTCTTGGCTCTTTTGGTATATGTAGATGATGTTTTGATTAGTGGAGAATCAGAATCTCAAATTGCACAAATCAAAGCACAACTACATAATAAATTTACCATTAAAGATTTGGGTAAAGCAAGATATTTTTTGGGCATGGAGATATCCAGATCCTCAATAGGTACTTTTCTTAATCAAAGAAAGTACATTATTGACTTATTGAATGATTCAGGAATGCCTACAGATCCTCCTACTTCTTTTCTATTACCACGAAACTTGCAGCTCACTTATGACTCAGGATCTGTGCTAAAAGATCCTACCCAAAACAAGAAGATTATTGGAAGGCTACTTTATCTTGGTCTAACAAGACCTGATCTGTCCTACTCAGTTCAGCACCTTTCTCAATTCATTCATGCTCCTACCACAGAACACATGAAAGCAGTGTCTCATATTTTGAGATATTTGCAAGGCACCATCAACATGGGTCTGTTTTATTCCTCCACTTCAGATTTATCTGTGAGAGGCTTCTGTGATGCTGATTGGGCCTCTTGTAGAATGACATCAAAATCCCTGACTGGATATTGTGTCTTCCTAGGCTCAGCCCTTATTTCTTGGAAGACAAAGAAGCAGAAGACTGTCTCCAAGTCTTCTGCTGAGGCAAAATACAGAGCAATGTCTGCTACCACATCAGAGTTGGAATGGATTAGCTACATTTTGAAGGATCTGTCTTTACCACCTAAACTACCTATCACATTATTTTGTGATAATAAAGCTGCAATGCACATTGCCTCTAATCCAGTGTTCCATGAGAGAACCAAACACCTCAACATTGATTGTCACTACACTCGTGACAAAATTTCAGAGGGCTTTCTTCAAACAGCCTTTGTGCCATCCAAGTTACAACTTGCTGATCTCATGACAAAGCCTTTGGGAGAGGCTCACCATCACCAGCTCAGTTCAAAGTTGGGCCTGCTGCGGTCTCCTCCTAGTCCACCTTGAGGGGGGGATGTAGAGAATATTACTCCAAGTTAGCTGGGTTTGTTGGAGTTTGTTACAGGACTGTTAGTTAGTTACAAGTTGGTTACGGTGGTTTAGTTTGTTAGCTCTCTTGTTACGTTTTCTCCTTCTTGTATATATATCCCTTCCTGTATCATGAGACACCAAGCTCCATGATTGATGAAATAATATCTTTCAGTCTTTCCTTCATTTTCATTCTCTGTTCTTTATGTAATCTGATTCTCAGATTTAACATTATTATCACACACGCGATTTACGCACATTCTAGCGAACAACTCTATTCACCAACTCTAACANCACCATCACCAGCTCAGTTCAAAGTTGGGCCTGCTGCGGTCTCCTCCTAGTCCACCTTGAGGGGGGGATGTAGAGAATATTACTCCAAGTTAGCTGGGTTTGTTGGAGTTTGTTACAGGACTGTTAGTTAGTTACAAGTTGGTTACGGTGGTTTAGTTTGTTAGCTCTCTTGTTACGTTTTCTCCTTCTTGTATATATATCCCTTCCTGTATCATGAGACACCAAGCTCCATGATTGATGAAATAATATCTTTCAGTCTTTCCTTCATTTTCATTCTCTGTTCTTTATGTAATCTGATTCTCAGATTTAACATTATTATCACACACGCGATTTACGCACATTCTAGCGAACAACTCTATTCACCAACTCTAACAGATTTTACAAATTGTAATTTTTTTGTTTGGAGTATTAATTGATTGTGAAGACTAGTCTTATTCGATACTGCATATTGGTGAAAAATATTACCAATTCCCTTGACCCTTAATATAAAGATAGTAAAAAGAGAATCAATATAAAGCATTTTGGACACAAAGTAGAATTTAAAAATTGTTTTCAATGGCTTGAAGCCAGAATAAGCAACTACGAATTTAATTTAGATATTTGTTGATACTTCACCTTTTTATTATTTAGGCATGTTCTTTTATGGATTCTTTTGCCGAATCTAATTGTCGTTTTTGTTTGCGATTGACTTTTTTATAGATGACTTCAATATATAGTGAAAATGATCAAACTTCTCAACCAAGCCAATTTGTTGAGGAAAGTCAAGAAATTGCTCTTGAACAAAATGAAAATGAAGAAGATGATTTGAAAAAAAGATCTTTTGTGTTGGTTCATTTTAAGTATGCAAAAAACATCACAAGTGCTGAATGCCCATATTGCAAAAGGATGATCAAGTGTGATTGCAAGAAAAATGGAACTAGTGGTTTAGGTAAGCACTTAAAGGCATATTGCCGCATGTCTCCTTTGTAAGAAACTGGATAGAAAACAAAATACCTTAAATTTCTCTTTGCTTCAGCCACCCTCCGGAAAAAGCGATGTAAAAGGCAATATGTTTAGCCAACATGGTTGTTGATTGGCATTAGCTAGAATGTGCATTAAAGATAATAGGCCTTTTAGAATTGTGGAGGATGAGGGCTTTGTGGGGTACTCATTTAGATTAAATCCAAAGTTTAAACTTTTTAGCCGATGAACAGTTGCTAGAGATTGTTTTAATTTATACAAAGAAGAATCAAAGGTCATAAAAAATCTTCTTGTTAGCAAACATGTTTCCCTAAGTACAAACATTTGGACTTCTATGCAAAATATTAACTACTTATGTCTCATTGTGCATTGGGTTAATGATCATTAGAAGTTGGTCAAGAAAATTTTAAATTTTTGTCAAATTTCCAATCATAAATGGTAGACGATTGGTAAGTTAGTGTATGCTTGTCTCAAGAAGTGGGGAGTGAATAAGATATTTACAGTCAATGTTGACAATGCTGCTTCTAATGATAGTGCAATTAGACATTTGAAGAAATAATTAATGGGTCCTAATTAGATACTTGATGATGCATATATGCACTTGAGATGTTGTGCCAATATTGTCAACCTAATTTTAAGAGATGGGTTAGAAGTGTAACACCCCAAAACGCACAACCCAGATAAAAAGATTAGCGAACCGGGTTGCTACTAAATTGGTATCTACATACATTATTTTCCAAGATATTAAAACATTTAATTTAAAACTCAAGCAAGTTAAAACAATCTAAATACATATCAGAGTTTATACAAACAGTGCGAAAGCTTTATAATATAATAAAATATCAACTTTTCCAAATCCTTGCATCCGTATATCTCCTCGGTCATGCTGCTCTCCAGGATGGATTCCAAAGTCAATCCTTTCACAACCACTTACGTGTAACAAGGGGAAAAAGAGGCTACACGCTCAGCAATGAAGCTGAGTGAGAAATGTTTAACAGTTCGAACATACGCATAGGCAAATCCACTAATTCATAACTCTCACATGATATCATGCACACAAGCATATCATATACAACATCAGAAATATCAAATGACAATACCATCATTGATAAACATAAATATTATGTTAAACTAGGGTATTGCACCTTTTCTATCTAATCCTCTAATTATCTCTTTACGTTTCACTCTCTCAAATTTAATTTTATTAAAAAATTAAATTTGAGTATTATTAGTGGGGTTTTACAGCGGTTTATGAGTATATTAGTGGGCTTATCACCACGTCTAATGACAAGTTGATATAGTCAGCTCCGCCCGCATGGGCAGCTCAGTTGGTCAAGAGCGTGAAATCTTGGACCGATGACCAGGGATCGAGTCCCGCAAGCGGCAGTGTGGGAGCTATCCAAAAATCCCATAAAGGGTGAGGAGGCTCCTTGTGCGCGGTGGGCACGGGTCTAGCGTTCTTGGCCGACTGAGTCACCATGATTTACTTCCTCCACCATTCCTGTCGGGCAAGGGGGTGGGGGCGCCTGGGGTGGGCGANAGTTGGTCAAGAGCGTGAAATCTTGGACCGATGACCAGGGATCGAGTCCCGCAAGCGGCAGTGTGGGAGCTATCCAAAAATCCCATAAAGGGTGAGGAGGCTCCTTGTGCGCGGTGGGCACGGGTCTAGCGTTCTTGGCCGACTGAGTCACCATGATTTACTTCCTCCACCATTCCTGTCGGGCAAGGGGGTGGGGGCGCCTGGGGTGGGCGATTCCACCTTTTGGACCGTTGATATAGTCATCTCCATTCCATCCAATTGTGCGCAGGAATAGTAGTTTACCAAGTCAAACCTTCTGCTCAGAAATGAAGCCTCATCTCTTCTCGTAAGTCCCATCTTCCCACCTTATCATTCATTCTATGCTATGTACTATTTATGTGGTTACCTGCTCCTCTAGCTTTGGGTTGTCCAATATATCACAAAATGAAGCAAGAAAACTTTCGCATCTTCATATTGTCACTTAACCTTTGTATATTCAGTCTCCTCCTTCTGCTACAAAATTCTTGTGCTGCAGATGTGCAGTATGAAGCCTGTGAGCCAAAAAGATGCCACCATGGTCCAACCATACGCTATCCCTTTTACCTTCAAGACCAGCAGAAATCTTATTGCGGTTTCCCTCAATTCAAAATCAGTTGTCATGTGCTGCAGGGCTATCCAATTCTTTGCCTATCTGGAATTGCTTATGTGGTTGAGGACATTTCTTATGAAAGCAGTCTGATTCGGGTTTATAATGAAGCCACCCGAGGATCTGGAGCCACCTGTCTTCGGGAGATCAGAAATCTGGCGACCCCAGCTAAAAGTGCTGGCTTGAGGCTTTTTAGCAATTCATCAATCCGTTTTTTATCAAATTGCAGTGAACCACTGTCAGGGGGTCTTCAGAAGTACAGGTTTCGCTGTAATGAAGGGAACAGAACCAAGTGGGGCTTGGTATTGTTTAATGATAGTAACTTCTTGAGCTCTGCATTGGAGCAGTGCAGAGAGAATGTGGTGGTGCCAGTCGAGAGAGGGAAAGGCAATGATAGGCTTAGAAGCAATGGTGTAGTTGATTATGAGACGTTATTGAGAAAAGGGTTTGAGTTGAAATGGAGAGTAAGCAGCTGCAATGAGTGCGAACAAAGCGGCGGGCGGTGTGGATTTAATGCTAGCACTATCAAGTTCAAGTGTTTCTGTCCCGATCGACCTCATTCCGCGCGTTGCAGGCACGAACCAGGTGAGCCCCTCCTCCTCCTGCTCTTCATTTGGATTTCCATGTAGTGATAGTTTTTATTGGTTAGAGTTCAGTTTTAACAGTATGCATATGGCTTGTCCAGAATGTGTGATATTCAGTCTTCAGTTGCTTATGTGTGAATAGAGAAATATAAGCTGGTCCCTATTCTTGTCCATTCTTAAGCTGCTTCTGTCCGGATTTAGTTTCCATTTTTTTGGGGTCCAAATTAATTGCCCCTTACCATACTTAGTAAGCAAATTGTTATGAATTATCAGAAACATCTCCTTAAGAGCATGTTAGCATTGTTTCCATCAATGAAGAACAAACTGATGCGAATCGGTTGTTTGTTATGTTACCTTTATTTCTTAAATTTGACGCATTTTTGAAGTGGACAAATTAATCCAAAAGGGTGGAATAATACTGAAGACAAGAAACCGGCAAGAACATTTTCAGTTCAAGTATGCACATAGCTTACGCAGAATATGATTTTATTTAAAAAAAAAATATAATACTCCCTAATTTAATCTTCTCATTTTCTTTTTACCAAAAATTGTTTGGCTCACATCACTTCTCTCTCTACAAAGATTTCAACCACGGAATTTCACCTATCTCCGTATCAAAAGCAAACAGGAAAGTTAAATTGGGACAAAGAGAGTAGTTATTCTTGTAGATATGTTTGGATGGAGGGGTTTGGATGGGGAGAGTTAATAGGGCTTGGTCTATATCTTGACCATTAGAACGTTTTCATAAAATCTTAAATATGCATTGAGATATACGTTAGGTGTGCCCATCCCCCAACGCCCTATAAAACTCAATTCCCAAACTGACCTAACATCAGTTTGGGGAGTCTTTTGATGGTTAGATGTACATATAGGTATCTACATGAGCTTTTATTAAAATTGAGAAATAGTTTAATAGGTGATTGTACAATATTTCAGTATCTTTTTTAAAATTATTCTATTTATGAAGGTATAGACTAAGCCTCCACATTCTTTTTCTCTAAAACCCTCCATCCAAAGTCCAAGCATACCCTTAGTTTGCCTGGTAATGTTTGGCAAGTAGGAGAAATTTAAGAAATAGAGTTTTGTTAAAAGCAACTATGCTGCCTTCTTTTTTAAATATGCATCTGACATTGACTCATGACTAATGGTAATGCTTTATGCAACATCACTTTTTTACTGTAGTTTTCCTTCGTAGGATGAATTCTTTCAAGAAACTTTTTATGGAGTGTTTCTGAAAGCAAGAATTTTGTTTAATGAGGTATACTTTTTTTCTAGGGACGTGTCATTATTTGATGTTTTTATATGGATGTATCAGTTGGACCTGGAAAGTATTTTATCCATATTAATAACTACGAGATGATTATGTATGTGAACATTAAGCTCAATTCATCCAACACGACAGTGACAGTCAATAGAAGAACTACCTTGATTAATGAACTGACAAGATTCCTCTAAATTTGAGAGGGATATAAGTGCACCCAGAAAAGATTTTTTTAAAGATCTTGAGTACTTGATCTTCCAACATTTGGAATGATTTCGATATGATGCCCGTATGAGTACATGAATCATACTGGAACTGGACTTTATTTTCAAGGGAGTGAATGCCATTCTCAAAATTTGATAATGTAACTCCCAAATATGGAGTGACAATATGAAGTTTGTGTTGAGGATAATAACGATAACGCGGATCAATCGAGAGTCGTGTATAGCACTTTCACATTGAATATTTTGGTTGTTCAATCCAAAATTCAATCGGATAAAACTCAAAAGTAACAAGAACGAGTATGGGATTATTGTGAATTTTCGAACGCTTCTTCGACCAAAGACTTCCGGGAATATATACAGTTGTGGTGGAGAAGAAATGACGTGATCGCGTCTTTTTATCCAAGACGCGCGATCCTTCGCGCGAAACCTTTAGAAAAATCGGTGCTATCCTTAACAATTTTTCTTTTTAAAAAAAATTCGAAAATAAAAATTCAATTGAATTTTTTTAACATAGCACTTTGCCCAAAATAAAATTTTTTTGAGCTGACTTGGCATCTCGACCCCTTGGACCCCGCAGGAGCTGCCGCCCCTTGAACCCTGCTCGGGGGCAGGGGCGCTGCCCCCTTGGAACCCCCGATAAAACATGACTTTTATCCTAACAAACTCAAAGAAGCATGCACTCCGCACCACCAAACTTCTTTGATGATGATTAGGATACCATTGGTCATAGGTTTTCCAATTACACTAAAATATATAACAGTTTAGGAGTGACAATATCAACTCCATGTATTCAATCCAAAAGCCTATCATAATGGTGTCTATCTACCCAATCTATTTCTTGAGTTCTTAGAGACTCCATCTGTACCGTAATATAGTTCTCATTTAGACTAGCACACATATTTAGCCAAACCTATTGACTTTTCAACATGGCCCTTATTGCCTTATCCTCATAAAGTAGGGTTATTAAGGTCTTTTTCTCTTAAAACTTATGTTGTAGGTAAACGAGAACTTGATTATGAGACCTCTTTATAAGGAAAGTGAGACTGCAAGAGCTTAATTATGCAATGGAGGTAGTATATTTATGGAGAAGACCCTATGAATTTCAGTAGGCGGTGAGACTGCCAGCTTATAGTGACAGTTGCTTAAACACATAGTTAAGTGGAGCATAGGATCAAGTTGGTTCTAAAACATTACTTGAGCTATTTTGTCAAGAATGTCTCCGGAATAATAACTCTTTGAGGTTTCTAGTGAGGCTGGAACTGTAAGGCGTAGTGGTTTAGGCCGACTCTGACCTGATAATGACTCTGTTCTAAAACGGGAGGATGAATCAAATGCATGAGCTCTGCCGCAAAAGACCTGCATAATCTAGTTGCTCTGTCCGAATGAGTGTCCTGCCAAAGAACAATCTTGGGTCCATTAAGGATTGCACCGTGTCATGTTGGACTATCATAAAAGCTTGGCTTGAGGTTACCTGAACCAAGTGTCCCAGCTGCCTTCTATGGCACGACACATTATGCAAAAGAGGACAGACATTCTTGTAGTTGTCCATTACGACTTCACTTCTCTCTGCACCTATGGTTGTTCAGATTCTAAACTAGTATGAGGCCGTGCTGCCTATTTCATGTCGAATAAACATTGAATCATAATGCAGGAAATGGCTTCCAAAATTATGTCCAAATTTAAATAAATATGTATACATCATAAATAAATTTATACAAATTTATCTTCTAGCGGTTTAGAAATTGGAAATGAAATGGGTTAACCAAGTTGTGCTTGAAAACACTCTCTTTAAACCCATTTTGCTACCCTCTAAGGTGCTAGAAGTGTACTAGTGTTAGTTTCCCAAGATGAAAATGGTTATCCCTCATCAAAGTTGAACGAAGCAAGAACAAAATTTTCTTAAAAGGTGTAAGAAGATTTACAAGAAGATTCTAATTGAGCTAAATAGTACTCCCTCCATCCCATATCTATCTTCCCGTATTGACATGGCATGGTTTTTATTTTTAATGTTAAATGAAAAATGCTTTGACTTTCCCATTTTGCCCTTTCCACTACTCCACCTACCCTTCGTTCTTCTTCTTCTTCCATAACCAGCCAGCCCTCCTCTTTGTTCTTCTTTTTCTTCTTCCGTAACCAGCCAGCCCTCTTCTTTGTTCTTCTTTTTCTTCTTCTGTAACCAGCCAGCCAACCCTCCAACATCATCATCATCTTCTTATTCAAAATCAAATTCACTCTACCTTTACCCTCCAAGCGCAAACTCAAATCTCACTTTCTTCTTCAAACTCAATTTTACCCCGTCCGTACCCTCTCCGACAAAATCAAATTCCAGGTCTTGAAGAAATCCATAAAATTAGCGAAGGTAGGACAAAATTGAAACAAAAAATGTAGATGAAGGCGGCGAGGAAATAAATATAAAATAAAAACCAAAAAGGAAATGAATACATCGGAAGAAAATCAAAAGCTAAAGCTTAAAGGATCTTATTCACCCAATGGCATTCCTTCATCGCCGCCCTTTCGCTATAATCCTTCGTCGTCTTTAGCTGTATAAGACGAAATGAGGGCGGGTGGATCTGACGAAAAAACAAAATGAAGAAAGAGGAGGGAGAGGTATGACAAAGAGAAGGAAAAAGAAAGGAGAGGGCGGTTGAAGAATGAAGAAGAAACATATGGGGGTGTGAAGAAGGATAAGAAGAAACACGGGGGTAATTTAGTCTTTTTTACAAAATTCATTTGCCAAATTAGGAAACGGGAAGAAAGATATGGGGAATCCAAAAAGGAAAACAAGAAGAAAGATATGGGACACAGGGAGTATTAAAAATCAAGATTATGATTTTAACATCTATGACAGCAACACATGAAGTAATCTCAATTTTGATTTGAATTATTTAGATAGGTTTTGAAAGCAATAAGTATTAACACATTTTATTAACTACCCGATGTTCCAATCACAACTGAGACAAGCCTGTAAGGTTTTGTCGCAAGCTTGTTGAGACTGCTTGAGTACCAAATTTTGTAGATGCCACTAAAAAATCAATAGGATTGGATCTGCTAAAATTTGGTACATTTCACCATTTATATGTTAGATTGAGATATGGCACACTATAAGATTCATTAGAATTGAATGCCCCGAAAAGCAATACAAAAATCCAGCATAGCCTGTTTAACTCGGTAGAGTTGACTTTAGCGAAATATAAAACTAGTGAGGTCATAATTAGCAACAACAACAACAACAACAACCCAGTTAAATCCCACAAGAGTAGGGTCTGGGGAGGGTGTGTGTACGCAGACCTTGCCCCTACTCAAAAGTAGAGAGGCTGTTTCCAAAGAGACCCCCGGCTCAACGTCGAAAGTTGCATTGTTTGACTAATTGCTACTTCATTAATTAAAGAAGCGCAGATAGTTTAGAGATCCATTTTGATTTATTCCATCACACCCCAAAGCCAAAAATGGTGAAATTTTGGCTCCATCGGAGATGATGGAATGAGGTCATAATTAGCAGGTTTTAGAATTTGATTTGAAGGACCGAGTAATAACCACAAGTGGGATTTGGGGGAGGTAGATGTACGCAGACCTTACTCCTACCCAACAGGGTAGAGAGAGGCTGTTTCTCCAAGACCTTCGGCTTTAAAAACGAACCAAAAACCTGTTAGAGAAGTAAAGCAAAGCAATGAAGTAGAGTAGATGGAAAAGTAAATTGAGACAAAACAAGAGACAAAGGTCAAAGAGAGAAGAAACCAAAGCACACACACCCTACTCTAACTAACTCCAACTCTTCTTCGGTCTCCCTTTCCCCTGCTCAAATTTCATACCGCCTGCGTCTCACAACTTCTCCCATCCATACTTCTCGTCTGCACATGTCCAAGCCATCTTAATCTAGTTCCGCACATCTTTTCGTCTACATAAGCCACCCTTATCTTGTCTCCATTCTTACCCTTATTTCTCCTACTTTGTCATTCTGTGCCATATCCACCGGAGTATCCTCATCTATCCACCCTCATTTTCTGTACGTGAGTGTTGTTTATTGACCAATGTTCCGACTCATACAACATAGCAGGTCTTACACTCTAACCAGCGTTGGATAGAACTTTCCTCAGTTTCAAAGGAACATTCTTATCACACAAAGGACACCCCATGTGAACCTCCATTTCATCTAGCCCTCTTCCTTTAAGGTCGTACGTGGCACGACAACTAGAGGAGCAGGCAGCAGCGAAGATAGCAGCGGCGCTGATCCAGAAGAGGATGTAACCAGCCTCTTCAAGTGAAAAATAAAATAAAAGATTGTACATGAATGCAATGGTACCAACAATTATTGGTATGTTTATTGAAAAGGCTGATCAACGCATGCGAAAACACATTTCTTTTGCCAAAAGTGTCATATAGTGAATTTATTACTAACGAGCTATGACTTGATTTACTTTCGGGTTTGATCCATTTTGGGTCTGGTCTGTTTCGGATTTGATCAGTTTTGTGTCTGATCGGTTTCAAGTTTGATTTGTTTGGGTCCAATCGATTTCAGAACTAAATCAGGTCTGGATACATTTAGTTCGGTTCCGTTTTGGTTTGGATCGTTTTGGTTATAGATTGGTTCATCAGTTTTCGGTTCATTTCAGTTTTAGATTTGCTTTGCCAGGTCTACCCATAATCCTTGAAGGGATCGTTGAACTGCTCTGTGCTCTTTATAGGGCATAGGCTATTGAGGTCTAAGAGGATCCATTTATTTGGATCCAGTTTTATAGGGTGTTCTGTATATGCTATGATTTAAATTAAATTATTGATTGAGATCATATAAGTTTTACTGGTAGCTTATTTATTTATCATTATTGGGTTAAGTCATTAACTGTATCCTGGAAGTCTGCCAAAGAAACTTGCATTGCTAGATCGTTTATTGACTCATAGGTATAGTCTTGGATTTAGCATCTAGAGAAACAGAAAGGTTGAGAGGTTCATGTAATCCAGCAATCATACTATTTATACTCAAGTTACTGGCAACTTAGGACATCATGCAAAGCTAGTCATCGGTGTGCCTAGTAGTGATGTGATTCACCTAAATGTAGAACTGTGTGGAGACTATTTTCCTAGCAGATGGTTAATTGCAATCAGGAACAAAGTAAAGATTATTTTAGCTGGAGCAAATTATCAGCTTTCTCTTTCTGGGCCGGCAATTTTCATTTAACATGAAAACTCTAAGAAATGCCCGATTTTACATAAATACTCCCTGGTTCATTAATTGACATCGCTACTCCCAGAAATTTGACATTTTAGAACCGCTACTCCATTGTTGCCTAGTCATCTTGCGTGTTAAATACATGGTATTTTAAATGTCGACTCGGTGTACAATTAATAAGTATGAGTTGACAACTAATTAAAAGACTGAAATGTTTTATAACCATACCCCCATCTCTTACGCCCTATATTATATCCTAGAATTTATGTAAAACACTATAAGTATTTTTTAATCTATATTTTAATTAGATAGGCTATGAATAGTGTTCCAAGAAAAAAAAAGATCATTTGAGGCTAATATTTTAAGTCAAATCGGGACAATTCTGATCGTATAAGGTTCTTACTACACCAAAGTTGTAACATAAACCTCTTAGTTATTCTTAGAGAGGTAAAGTTGCGTACATCTTGACTCTCAAACCCCAACAGAGTTGGGATTATACTAGATTTTGTTGTTGTTATTGTGGTTGTATTCTTACTTTGTTTACATATGTTGACTATATTTCTTTTGTTTGCTCTTCATTTGCATTTTTGTTAACCCTTCTTTAATTCACTTTAGTTGCAGGTAAAAGTAAAACGAAGATTATTATAATAGCAGGTACAGCTGTCACCGATAAATCTATTAATTTTCTCTTTTGTTTAAACTACTCTTTTGTGTTTGATCTATTCCTGTAATGATGAATTTTGTTTGTTATCCGTTCGTTGTTCAAAGTATTTGCCAAGCAAATCAAAATTTTATGGTTTTGTGTGAATCCAGTTTTGGGAGCTGTTATAATGATCCTCACTTTGAGTTTGGTGGTGATTCTTGTTCTTCGGCGTCGCAAGAATGCAGTTTGGGGTTCTTCACGATTCATTCCACACAACACATCTTCTACACTCTCCAAAAAACTAGACCTTGAGCAAGATAGTAAATACTTTGGGATTCAAGTCTTCTCTTACTCTGAACTCGAAGAAGCTACAAACAGTTTTGATTCTTCCAAAGAACTTGGAGATGGAGGGTTTGGAACTGTATATTATGGTAAGTCAATCTCTAGCTGAAATTGGCTCCCGCAGTTTCTCATGCAACTTATGAACATGAAAATTAAAGATACAAGTCTTGTGTGCAACTTAATAACCAGGAAAGCTTGGGGATGGAAGGGAAGTAGCTGTGAAGCGCCTATATGAGCACAACAGCAAGAGAATGGAGCAGTTCAGAAATGAGATAGAGATTCTCACCGGCCTAAGACACCCAAATCTTGTAACCCTTTATGGGTGCACATCCAGATGCAGCCGTGAGCTCCTCCTCGTTTATGAATACATTCCGAATGGAACAGTTTCTGATCACCTCCACGGAGAAAGAGCAAAAGACGGATCGCTCACTTGGCCTATCCGAATGAACATAGCAGTGGAAGCAGCTAGTGCACTGGCTTACCTCCATGCCTCTGGCATAATACATCGAGATGTGAAGACCTCTAACATTCTTCTTCACGAAAACTTTTGTGTCAAAGTTGCAGATTTCGGGCTTTCAAGACATTGTCCCACTGGTGCTACACATGTCTCCACTGCACCTCAAGGAACACCTGGATACGTCGACCCCGAGTATCACGAGTTCTACCATCTCACTGATAAAAGTGATATTTACAGTTTCGGCGTTGTCCTTATTGAGCTCATATCCTCAATGCCCGCCGTGGATATAAGTCGGCATAGACATGAGATCAACCTGTCAAATTTGGCCATGAATAGGATAATCCGGCATGCGTTTCATGAGCTGATTGATCCATCTATGGGGTTTGAGACAGACGCTGAAATCATGAGGATGACTACTTCCGTGGCAGAGCTTGCTTTCCGGTGTCTGCAATCGGAGAAGGATATGCGGCCTGCGATGACTGATGTCCTGGAGACGCTGAAGGAAATTCAAGGCAGTGAGTTGAAAAACACGGTGGAGCAAGAGACGGATAATAAGAATGATAGTGTGTCAGGTGGATCTACAAAAGTCCCTTCTCCACCTGGATCAAACGGTGCATCTCTGCCGCTGTTAAAATTGTCAGTTTCGCCCATTTCTGTGACTGATAGTTGGGTAGTAAGTAGCTCTACTACAAGTAGCAGCAATAGTGAGTGATTCTTATCCCACCTGTCTTGCTTGATCAAGACATTTTTTTGTCTAGCCACACTCCCTCGCTTAATTTATTTGTATTTTAGGAGTGGGTCTGGTTGGTTATTTTGTGCTTTATGCCTAGTGTTTGTTTGCCTTGTACAGGTTCCACAGTTACAACAAAAAGGAAATGTACAGAGAAATAAATAGCTGCTTGCTAGAGTACTGCTAAACTTGGATTTATCTAGCTCTTATGTTTTTGATCAATGTACTATGACGCATAACTGTATTAGAACATGGCCTTTTAATGTCAGGTAAGATTAACCACTTTTTCATATAAAGTTTAGAACTAGTGTCTAATCCAAAACCTTAAATCAATGGGTAGAGCTTTCCTTTTTTTTAAAAAAAATATGGAAGTGGTCTTTGTTTTAATTGTTTGATGTGGGGTGGACTCCCAACGATTGGAATGTGAGTTAGAATGATCAGTCTTTGAGCGCACGAAATGGCAATTCGATTGCGTTAATGATAAATAGGATTCGTGGCATGTAGATTGCAACTTTTTTGTCGTAATGAACTAGAAGAAGCTAGAACAATATTAGGAACTACAAGATCAACAAAAAAACATGAGTGGGTATGGAATAGACTTTCCATTCCTAAGTTTTAATTCATTTTATGGCTTAACATGAGAAATAGAATCCAGACCAAGAAAAGATTGGCCAGATTTATGAATATTAGCACTAATTGTGCTCGGTGAGACAACGGAGAAGTAGACCAAAACCATTTGCTTTGGGATTGCACTTATACTACTAAACCATTTTTGGATCTTGATGTACTTGACTAGTTTTTTTGTTTATTTATACTTCTTCTCTCTCAAATTAATGTGTAAAACCCATGCTTTTTAATTTAATTTATTTACTAAGTCGTATAGAAATAAAAAATAGAACTTACATACTTCTTTCGTCCGCAAATAATCTTTCCATTCTACTTTTTCATCCCAACTCTTCCAAATATACTCTCAACCCATTACTCCATTTTCTTTCTCCCCATTCGGCCATTCCTTTTTCTCGACAAGGACTATTCAGTATTCATATTAAGGTAGCGTTTGGCAACTAGCATTTTATTTCAATTCATGCATTTCAATTCCAAAATTTTAAATCTTGAATTTCAAATGACAAGGGGAGGTGCATGAATTTCAAATTAAACTTTGTTATGAATGAAAAGAATATGACTCAAATTCAAATGGCTAAAATCCACCGTTGGTCCTTCAAGTTTTTGCATTATGCATGATTAGTCCTTCAACTTTATAAAGTCCATGAATGGTCCTTCAAATCACATTAGCGATGTGCAGTTGGTTCTTCCGTTAATTTTTTCCGTTAGTCCATATTCCCCCTCACCAAAAAACTAAACTCAGCCATCCACTAGCTTCACTTCACTCTTTTCTAAACTATTTTAATCTTATCAAGGATAATTCCTAAGTAATTAATTATTACTACCTCCCGTCCTAGAGTATTTGTTCACTTTCATTTTTACACACCATCCAATACACTTCTTTAATTCATTTTATCTTGTAATTTGTATATTAAAAAATATAGAAATTATATATTAATAATTTATATGTTAAGACAAATCAAACAAGATCACACATGACTATATTTAGGCTTACACATTGAGAGAATTTGATGAGTCAAAGTGCTTAGATGAACAGTTCCAAAAGTCAAAACTAGACGAATACTCCAGGACAGAGAGTATTATTCTATCATTGTTATCCTTAATTATCAGTGTATTATAATTACTAGCCATATATGGCGTTGATGGATATCGGCCCAACTCCAGGCCCAAACGAAGGCCCATAAGAGCCCAAAAGGTATAAGATCAGATTGGGATGACGGGCCAGGCCCGTTATCTCGAATATGGCAAGTAAAGGAAGACGGCCAGACACAGGATAGATCAAGGTGACCCAGTCCAAGGGAGGAATGGGACACGTGGACCACATCATCAAGTTGTGGGCGAAATGGAAGAGAACGAGACCGGGAAGAAGGGGAATCACAACCCCATGATCTCCATAATCCATCTCCATTTTGTATAATTTTAATTAGAATATTAGAAGTACTATAAAAAGGGGAGGACCCCGCCATTGTAAAGCAAGTCACAACAAGACAGTTCAAAAGGCAATCAAAGAATATTATCGAGTGATTATATCTTCCTAATTCATATTCCGTTCTTGGTCCGCCATCTGATCGGGTTAATCCCATCATTGGTGCTCTTGTTGAGAGTCGAATACTGTGAGATAAGGCTGTGAGATTATGGCCGGACGAAGGACGAGACGTAACCCTGCTACTTCTGCCTAGTCGACCGTGAGGAGTGACAACCCAGAACAGGGTATGATAGTTCCAGTCAATGGGTTGGAAACGGCACTAAATAATGTGGCTAACATGATGGCCAACATTATGGAACGATTGGATAAGGCTCTTCCAGGTCCATCCGGTACCCGGGACATCCCTACCGGGCAACCTCGCCAGGCCCTGCGTACTGCGAGTTCTCCTATCCTCCAGGAGCTCCATGATCCGGAGGAGGTTGAAAGGGAAAGGCGAGCCATTGATAGACGCCGGGCGGAGGAATTGGCCCGGAATAGCAAGGTGAACGAAGGCCAGGCTAAGGATCCAAGCCGGATCTTCGGCGATGGAAACGAGAACCCGCGGACATCTGTCTTTGAAAGGATATCTCGCCAGAAAGCTCATGTTAGTGAGAGACTGGGGAAGAATCCGGAAAAGGCACCCCAGGGTTGGATACGACCCCAGGCCAGCCAGGTGGCATCTTCCAATCGCGAGCCCCGGCAGCGAAACGGCCGAGGCGCGAGCCAGGTGCTGGTCCGGTCATTAAGGAATCTGGAGGAGGACGAGGTCCAGAGCCAAGCCAGGATCCCAGCACCACGGCGTCTGGGACCGCCGTTGCCGGAAGCTGGTGAATTCCAGGATCTGAGGCAGCAGATCCAGGAGATGCAGAGGAAGATAAACAAGGGTCGAGTATTCACCACCCGTACGAATACTCCCTTAGCCCCGGAGATCTTTGCGGAACCATACCCGCAGAGGTTCTAGATGCCATTTGTTAAGCGTTATGATGGGGAGTCAGACCCTCAGGAACACATAAACAGTTATGTCCAAGTGATGATCGCTGTAGATGCCAGTGACGCACTCATGTGCCGGTGCTTCTTGCAGACCGTTGATAGCAAGGTCGCGGATTGGGTCAACCATATCCCTGCCGGATCGATCCGGACATGGGATGAATTGGGACTGCGGTTCCTAGAGCATTT